AGCCTGACTTGAACAAATCGAAACAGTATTTAAATGCAAGAAATTACTCAACTGTTGAAAAACAACTTTTTCAATGATTTTACCTAGAAATGGCAGGTTTGATATGGGCCTGTAATTGTTCATTACTGAAGCATCTAGATTATTCTTTTTTAAGAGCGGTTTAATGACTGCAGTTTTCAGGGCCTGTGGAAAAATACCTGAGTGAAGAGATTTTTTTACTATATGAAGTAGATCTGAGGCCATGCAAGGAAAAACATCTTTGAAAAATCCTGTTGGAATAATATCAAGGCAGCAGGAGGAGGATTTCAGAAGTTGTTTAATGTCCTCTAGGTTTTTATCATTAATCTGATGGAATTGTGTCATGGTGTTTGAATTGATATTAGGTGGACACAGAGACAACACATTTGCTGTACCTGATGCAGAGGCACTGACTGCTTGTCTGATTTTCTGAATTTTGTCAGTGAAGAAGCAAGCAAAATCATTGCACGCCCTGGTGGATAGAAATTCAGAGGCTACTGACACTGGGGGGTTAGTTAGTCTGTCGACGGTAGCAAACAAGGCACGTGCGTTGTTTTTCGGCAATGATGTCAGAGAAGAAAGACTGTCGTACGTTTTTCAATTCCAATATAAAGGCCAAGTCTCTCTTTATAGATTTCAAAGTGAACCTGGAGATTTGTTTTTTGCCACCTGCGTTCAGCTTTTCGACACTCTTTTCTCTGTTTTCACGGTCATGGCCTTTCTCCATGGGGATATTTTCTTCCCAGTCACTTCCTTTACCTTAGTTGGAGCAATGTCATCTATAACATTTTTAATTTTTGAATTAAAATGATCTACTAGCTCATTTACTGAGATGTTAGCAGGGGCGCAAGTGTGGAAGAACAATTCTGAGTAAACATTTCCCTAGTATTTTCAGTTAAATATCGCTTTGTGGTTACCTCTTTTTGAACATATTTGTGAATAGAAATAGAGCTCTCAAAGAAAACACAGGAATGGTCAGAGAGTGCAACATCAGTCACCACAACCTTAGAGATATTCAGACCCTTTGAGATAATTAAGTCCAGAGTGTGCCCCTTATTGTGCGTGGGCTCCGTCACATGCTGAGTCAGTCCATAGTTATCAAGAACACAAAACAGTTCTTTAGCCCCTCTGTCCTGGGGCTTGTCAACGTGGATGTTAAGATCACCAACAATGACTAGACGGTCAAAGTCAATACACACTATAGACAGCAACTCGGTAAAATCATCAAAAAAGCTTGCACGGTATTTGGGTGGTCTATAGATATTTAGGAACAGAGCTCGAGAGGAGCATTTCAGCTGAAGGGCCACATATTCAAAAGAAGCAAAGTTCCCATAAGATGTCTTCATTGAATGGAATAATTGAACAAAATATCAACTCCACCCCCTTTCTTATGCATTCTTTCCTGTCTCATAAAACTAAATTTGGGAGGGGTTGATTCGATAAGAACAGCTGCACTGTTATTTTGTTCAATCCAAGTTTCTGTTAAAAACATAAAATCGAGATTGTGCTCAGTGATAAAATCATTGATTAAAAATGTTTTACCTGCCAAAGACCTGACATTTAATAAAGCTAGTTTAAGTTTGTTAAACACACTATCAGTCAGATTTGTTGTGACAAGCTGTGGCTGACATGGAATCACTGCTACATTTTATAAACTCACACAAACGTTTGACCACTTCCTGTTTCTAAACTGATTCACCGCTCTTAATCTATTACCTATCAACACAGATATCGGCAAAGCTACTGGCTTGTCCTGGAAAGAAATGAGAGTGCCATACGCGCTTGAGCCTGGACCATACCCCTAAGAAGGTCTACTATAAGTTAAAGACGGCTATACAATGGCAGGGCCCCGGAATCCCTTTGTTGACCAAACTGGTTTTGAGTTCAAACTTGAAACCTACAGTGAGTTTTGACATATGAAACTACAGAAGAACGGCGGCAGTGGCTAAGTCTGTAGGGACTTTACCGAAGGGTCACCGGTTCGAGTCCCGATCGACCAAGAAAACACGGAGTGGACTGGTAGCTAGAGAGGTGCCAGTTCACCTCTTGGGTCCTGCCGAGGAGCAAGGCACCGAACCCCTCCCCGGCGCCGGCTAAACTGGCAGCCTCTTCGCTCGGGCCCTCTCCAGGTGCATGTGTATTATGTATAGTGTGTATAACTGTGTGTGTATTGCATGTTCATCTGTGCACCTACTTGTATACCGTGTGTGTGTGTGTGTGTGTATTAAAAAAACTAAATACAAGCAAGAGTGAAAAACTGAATTTCCGGCTAGGGGGATTAATAAAGGTTAATCTTCTTCTTCTTTAAGGAGACTTGTTCTTCATGTAGCGGCTGGTTTGGACACAGGGCGGAAGAAGTGTTAACAGTATTGCCCTGATGCTGTGTACAAAGTCACATGTGTTAACAAATGCACACATGCCCTCAGTAAATTCAGGATGTTTTGTTTTTATAACCATCAATCTGTTGGGGAAGAGAACAAGTTCCCCTGTAAGAGACACCCGGAAAGCAAAGTAAACATATGAAGTGCGTGTGTGTCGGTATGTTCTCTAAACCAGATGTTTCCCTAAATTAAATTAGTCTAGTCGTCTTCTGATAGGATGGAACGGCGTCACGCCACCTCCGCCAAATCCCCCCACTGCTCCCTGCAAACCTGTCAACCTGAAGCCTGTCAGCTGCTGTGTGCTCGTATTCAGCTCTGCATATGTTACATGAATGTTCTCTGCGTTCTCTGGTGTTCTGTATGTTTTGGCGGACGCGCTAAGTTGGATTTTTTGTGGGGGCGTGGAGGTTTAACACATCTGCATATTTGCTGTGTGCACATCGTCAAGTGTTCTTTTTCATTCCTAGCTGTTGCTCAGAGTTTATGTATAGCATTATAGTTTGGGTGATTAATGACCTTTGAAAGAACAAAAACCATCAAAGTGTCCTCAGTGGTTGATATAACGGTGGATAATACATACGTTCCATTAGTATATGCAGCAAGAAAAACACAGCACACAATTGTAAGACTGAAGTCTTTATTCACAGTTTCGCGCCTTCACCACAGACTCCAGCTGTAATATAATATTTGTGTGTACGCTTTGTTCCTCAAACAGGCCTCTTTCACCAAAGAGGCTTCTGGGATTTGTATTATCCCAACCCCAGGATGGTGAAGAAAAAAAACAAAACACAAGCAACTAGTGGTCTCTAATGGTCTGGTAAAAAATGGAGACACAATATTTTGTTTGTTAGCTGTCTTGAAACCTTGCTGGGTTTGTAACTCATGTGTCTGTTGAAAAGCTAGAAACTCTTTACATCCTGATGGACCATGATTAATTCTGGACTGATGTCTCAAGGTTTTAAACAATTAACAAGAACCTCCAGTTTCCACCTTCAAAAACGTTTTTTTCGCTTTCTTGCTGAAGGTTAGTTGAGAAGATCAATATCAGTATCCTGTCTGTATACTAGCCCTGAAGCTACACCATTGACAACGTTAGCTTAGCAAAATGACTTAGCCTTGCTCTGACCAGTGGAGCAAATTCCACACACCACATCCTCTGAAGCTCACTCATTACAGCAAGTTTGGGGAGGATCTAAATCGCGGGGCTGGACTGGAAACGGGTTTGAATTTGTGTCGAACATATGGACACAGCTTTCTATTCCAGCTGAACACACAACCAACACTAGTTGAGGGACACGTTCGCGAGCCTTCTCCAGAAAAGTCTGTAAAACCAATGTAGACCGGATGGGCAAACTCCAATGACCCCCTTCATATCTCATATTTGTCTACCTCAGCTTTCTGTGCCAGGGAAATGGATCAGTCCTACCCCGAGTCCAGAACATAGCCACCATGAAAATGAATGTGTTCTTCCATCATGCTAGTGGTTTCATTGATGGCGATATTGATTGCTATTCCTACTGGATCCTGGTATTTAACTAAAAGACACGAGAGTGCCATCTTTTTATCTAACTCTCAACAAGAAAGCGAATCAATGATTCTTTGGTCGTTTCAACTTGTCGAGTACAAAAAATGCAAGCTACATTACAAATATTGACCAAGAAAAGAAAAAGCTACCCCTATAAAAAACTACTTATGTGTTATAAAACAAACATTAACAAAAGTATATAAAACTTTCAAAGGTTTTGAAAGTGTAAAAAAATGTACACTTGTGTCACCATGGTAAAGGTGATAATGTAGGTACAAACAAATGAATTATCTACAGGAAAATCTAGCTATGCAGGAACATTTCTGTGATAGTTGATGATCTATAGTATGAAACACTAGAAGGACGGCTGCGGTGCTGATGTGAATGAAATAACACTTTATAAATTACAGTTGGTTGGCATCTGAGGTCCTTGTCCAATGGCTTGAAGGGGCACTGGGGGGTGGGACGCCTCACCACACAGTTCCTAATTGTTGTTCTTCTTTTTGATCTTCCGACGTGTTATAAGATCTGAATGGAGAGAACTGGAATGTCCAGAAATCCTTGAAAAGAGAGAGGACATGTCAGAAATAACCAGAGTTTTCACAGTGTTTTCTGTTTATTATCCCTAAAGAGAGGTGTCGACGGATGAGATGACTTACCTCGAGGGGAATTTCAGTTCCAGCCCTCTTGTCCGCTGTGAAAAATATAAAAAAAAGTAATCAGCTGCTTTACTTTTGTCGATGCTCGATTGCTTTTATAAGTAAAATTATGAATAAATGAAAAACAAAAGAATAGAGTAGTTTTTTTTTTTTAATACTGATTTAAAAACAGTTACTGCCTTTCTTCATCATTGTTGAAGGGTAGGGGAAACAAACACAAATCCCAGATGTCAACAAATATGTCACATTTCTGTTTAATGTTGGATGAATTAAGTATTTTTTGGTTACATAGATAACTCCCTATCATGCAATGATGAAAATGTGTAATTCCCCTCCAAAACAAACCATTCAAGTTCCCAAAGTTGTATGTAAGTGTTCTACACCAAAGGCACAAGATGCTATCATCAAAAAAGCTTCCTCTTAGTACTATTTAGCGAAACATTTACCAAAATCTTACAAAATATGAAGATAGTTGGATATTGCATCAAGTGGGAATGATGTGGACGATATGTGCTATTCCTTGTTGAGAGTCGTGGAAAATCGTTGGTAGACAACAGTGATGGATGGAAGGATGAATGAGACCAGAAGAAGAGGAAGAAGAATCTCCTGGGTGAAGTCGGACTGGTGATGATTAAATGGCGGTGGTTCCTAGGTGGTTTTAGTTTACTTGTTAAAACATACTTTTTAAAGCAACATTATGCAATTTCTTTACTCAAAAAGCTTCATCATATTATAGGAAGAATGCATCCTCTTCGTGTCCGACCTCACACCCTGAACGTCTGTTCTTACACTATGTGCCTTTGAGAAGCTATAAGACAAAGCTAGCTCGGTAACCTCAGTACGGACATCATAGCAGAGGCGAAAAGAATCAAGAAGATGTTGACATTTGAAGCCAAGAAGAGAAAGAGAAGCAATGCTTGAAATACAAAGCATTGTATTAGGGCGAAATTTGTATTTATGAATCGCAGAAGTGCCAGTTTTTGCATAATGTTGTTTTGAAGTTGTTAGATGGAGGTTAGATGGAGGTTAGATGGAGGTTAGTGCAAACTGCAAAGTGACGACGGACAGTCAGTACCTCATCAAGGAGATCCGTCCTTGTCGGCGTAGCTCGGAGGAGCCGAGGCCCGAGGGAACCGGGTCAGAGTGTTGGGATAGGGAGAGATACTTTACACACACACACACACACACACACACACACACACACACACACACACACACACACACACACACACGTATGGGGAATGGTTTTTAACTTAAAATCTGTGAAGATATGTAACAGATGTCTGCAGACTGTATTCCTCCACCAATTAACCCCACGGCATGCGAACAAGCAGAGACGCTGCTCGTACCTGACCACAGCAAGGTCTCCATGGATACCACACACTTGTTCCCCATGATTACCTGTATTACCCATACTGCAACACAAGAGAGGGGGTGGATAGGTGAGAAAGAAAATGGGAAGACTCCACTCAAAGCAACAAGGATGGAGTGATCCCCGGAAATAAAGTGGAAAAGAGGAGGCAGATGCAGGAGGAGAGGATGAAATGAAGATCCATGCAAAGAGATGAAGTTCATGCTTGATTTCCCATAAAAAACGTTTAAGAATGATCTCAGGAGATCCACAGTCAAGTGTCCAGTTCCAAACATGGTATGTAAACACGTGGAAGAGGAGGAGAGGATGCACGGATGGCAGACAAACATTAAAGTGCAACAAGCCACGGGTAAGTGGTTCTGGAGAGAGTGGAACAAATACCAGGAGAAAGTATGAGGATAATCAAAGACCATGAGGAGGAATAATGACAGAGAGAAGGAAACAAGAGGATTCATTAATTTACTTTTGATCTACAGAAAATGATTCAGAAAAACTACCAATAAAAACAAAATAAACTTCTGTCAGTGGATGTACAGTATGTAAACCATGTGCGTGTGTGTGTTTACTCACTCTTCAAAGACATCTTCTGTGTCCATCCTTCTGTAATACTTTGCCAGTTTGACAGAAACGATGATGCTGGGGATCAGGAGGACACAGCAGCCTCCCAGACCAAACCAGAATGTGTTCTGAAAAACCACAAAAACAAATATTATTTTCACCAGTTAACCTCTGATCAGAAAAATAAGTGACATGAAGTCTCCTTGGACTTATTTGGCATTTTCACATTTGAAATGTGGAGATTGATCATGAAAGAAGCGTTGGTTGCAACCCAACAGATTTAACATGGAGCACATACACATTGGGTACAGAACATATGAATAAAAACTTGTTTGCATGCACACACAGTACCGGGGCTGCAGGCACTGCTTTATAAATCTCTGTTTGGATTGACCACAGTCTGTGGATTATTGGAGCTCTCATTAAACCCACAGACAGACAGACAGACAGACAGACAGACAGACAGACAGACAGACAGACAGACAGACAGACACACACACACACACACACCCAATATATAGGTAATATGTAAATACTTTGCCTCTCCTCAGGGAGAGAGTGAAAACAGTGAAGAATCTACAGTATGTGTATGTTACTCCCGGTATGGCCTACGGACTCATCTCAGTGTGTGAGAGGGAGTGTGTTGAAGACTTGAGAACATACTGTTCTCTTATGTGTGGCCGAATGACTCCACAGACTTCATCACTCCCAAAAAACCCAGTGCTCGCTCAAACCGTCAAAGAGCCGTTTATACTTCTAGTTGAAATCCGAATACATTCGGGGGAACATGTACTGGGGCATGAATCCGTGTGACACACAAGCACACACACACACACAGATAGCCACAGTGTTCTGGTGCCTTACCACTGAATCCACTATGAAGCTGCAGCCTACAATCTCCATGCTGTCCACAATGTTACTGATGGGTTTACACTGGGCCACCTCTGAACTCAACTGTAGGAGAGAACACACAAAGGTATAGATTACAGTGCATGTACGAATGAAGTCAAATGTAAACTGCATGAGTAGAGTTTAGCAGACGGAAGATGAAGTCTCCTAAACCTGCCTATTACAGACTTTTGGTTTGAAGAAAGAGAATGTCAGTTTCTTTCAAACCACATTTCAATCAAACTGGCCTTCTGAACTGTGTACTGAAACCTGAACATCATGTTCACTCAGATCAGTGCAGCTCTGGTTTTACTGCATCCTATAATAATAATAATATTATTTTCTTCTACTGGCAGGTTTCCATCCAAACATAGCAAAGAGTAAGCACATTTCTGCACGTTTCCATATATTACTGTAATGCACATTTCCGGAGTTGGTTCATCAAGATAAGCAGCAGGGTAACCCTAAGTCTCCAGTTACGTGCCATTAAACCAGTGCAGAAGAAGAAGGCTCAACGAGATGACCTTTTAAAAGGTGCAAATTAAATCCTAAATGGTCGGGTTATATTTAGAAAACATGAAGTAATTATGATCTTTTTATTTGTTACATATATTGATTTGAAGAAGGTTATAATCTCCTCATTGCTCCACACAGATGTAATGTTTTCATCTGCTGTCATGTTTTTGTATACTGCTATTTTCCATCTCAGTGGATGCTACACTAAAGTGCTTCGTGTACTTCATTATTAATTCCCCCAGTGCACTTATTGTCATTTTTTTTATTTTTTTTTATCAAAACACTAACTTTCCCAAAGGATCCAAGTTTAAAAAACGTTTGCCGTTTCCACTCAGATTTTCTCGGAGAGATAAAAGGTGTCATTAATAATGTATACATCAGAGGGAACTGGTAGTATACTCACCGAATGTTTAACCCATGCTGTGTACTGTTTGAAGTATCCCACCAAGTTCTCCGTGTAGCCTTTGGTTTCCTAGACAGACAGAAAAGGAAAACATCTCAGAAAACGTGTGACGCCATCTTATATCATCTGATTCACGAGTCTGAAGCAACAAGTGTCTAAAAAGGAAGGTCGTGTATCTACATTAACATTGTTACATATTTTATTTTACCCTTTTCACCACATGGGAGGCGTTATGAGTGATGAGGTATTCTGCTGCATCGATGGCACTCAGGATATTCGTGGCCTTAACCTAAAAGAGAGAGAAATTCATTTGTTATATAAGACATAAATAAAGCAAGACATTGAAAATAGTTTACTTTTTATGATGAGTTTATAATATAGAAGAAAAATAAGACGAGTGCACCACATTTTATTTAAGGTAAATCCTTCAATGTCTTGTTGATTTGTTGTTTGAACTGATGTTGATTTTGATAAATTAGACGGCAAGTCAATACGAAAGTAAAAAGTGTTATGTTTGTTCTCTCACCGTCAGGTCGTTGGACATCCTCTGCAGCTGCTTGATGCTCTGACTCAGTGTACTCTGTGTGAGGAGACACAAACACAAACTGTTAACCAACAAACAATAATGCCATGACCACATTTTTAACAAACAGAAATATCCATTACGTCACATCACTGCTGTCACAACATTTACAACACTGCTACGGTAAACACACACACATTTATGAACACAGGGCTTACCCGCGCTTTCACATATTTCTGTCACCGTTTAACAAACAAATAGGAAGAAGAAAGAAAATAAGTAAAGTTAAAGGGGAACTGCCAACAGAGGAACATGTTTCGTAATACATCGCTAAAAATGTATAATTACACTATGTTTGTTTATTTGTAATAATGAGTTATATGATATTATATTTAGATTTCTTTCTGTGTAGCATACAATAAATTATTTTTTGTATATCAGCTGTTACAATATTCATGAGAAAATAAATCACAATTGTTGTATATTTTTTATTTTACTTATTTATAAATAGGAAGGCAATTCAGGCACTCCAATATGTAAGAACAAGGAATTAAATATTAAAATTGCAGAGGCTAAATCTTTTAAAAAGTGTACATGTTTCAACCTGTAGGTCTCTGTCAGGGCTAGTGACTAACAGGATATTGGTCAAATGTCTGTATCTCCTTTTCAAAGCTAGATATATGGTTGCTGATGGATTAGCTTGAAGCAATAAACCCTTAACGATGTCGAAGGAGCTTTTGGATTTGTGCCGAGAGTTGCAGCTGCAACTAAAAGTCAGTCAATACCAAACTCCACAGTGTTTCACTGAGGGTAAGCACAATATTTATTTGTGTCATTAAAGCTGACAGTGGCATAACACAATTAATAGCCCAGTTTTTATATTTTGTTAGGAAGGTTGCCAAAGAAATGGGCCTTAAGTTCTAAAAGATTGTGATCTTCAGGCTTAAGGTAACATGCTGAGGGAGATTTAATTTTTTCAGCGGAAGAAAGGTATTATTTAGTTAAACGGGGGTAATCTGTGTGTATTGCCGTTAATAACTGTGTAATATATACCTGGCTGCTAAATCCTTAGAACTGTTACAAGGTGTGTATTTTGTAAATTGTGTAACTTGCTGCTGTTAAATACCAACCACCTATGCGCAATATGCGCTAGATGTGCAATATAGATGCCGTTAATAACTGTGTAATATACACCTGGCTGCTAAATCCTAAAAACTGTTACAGGATGTGTATTTTGAAAATTATGTAACTTTTTATTTTTTATTATATTTTTTATTATACCATAACTTAGTACTTTTTTTAATGCATGTCACATATTTAACATATGTAACATTAAGCTGTCTGTGGCTCTTTTTCCTGCTGTAACTATGCAAATTTCCCTTCCGTGGGACTAATAAAGGTATTCTGATTCTGACTCTGATTTGGTTGTGCATATGTATTGAGTGTCGGTTTATTTTTTTAATGAGAGAGTTGATTACCATTGCTTGCTCCATTGGAACCACTTGATCCCTGTGGATCTGTCTGATACTGCTCGCGTGTCCTTTCAGTGCGTTCTCCAGAGCACCCCGGGGCTGTACACACAAACAATAAGCAGAGGATACAGAAGTTTGATGCAGTTCAATCTTTAATTACTGCAGGTAATTACAGTAATATAAACTCAATGATTTATTTGTCCTTGCTTCCTTCCTTCCTGCCTCAGAAATGCAGGCACACACTAATCCTTCTGTGGCATGTCCCATGTGTCTTTAAAATGGCACAGTTCCTGTACTATGTGCTCTGCATGTGCCTTGAATGTGTGTGTGAGTGTTTTCAGGGTGAATGGGCACCTTGTTCGAACCAACTGAGCATGAAACAAAATTATGTTCTGCACAGTCTGTCCAAATGTATGTTTGCACTTGTGGTTTAAAAAAATGTCTATATCATTGCTACGTCTAAACATAATGCCTTAAGAGGCATAGAACTTGTCTTGTTTAAACGTTATCATTATTAAATAATGTTGATTGCACAATGCAAAGGCTGTGCATAATTGACACACAAGTTTAGGTTTGGTCCTCTATCAGGATCGCTTTCCTTCTGCTTCTGTCTGTACCTGGCCTTAGTCTTGCTGGTAAATGAAAGCCTATTGCGAGCAAGCAATGGCAAACAAATGCACTGTGCTTCAGTTCAGTGTGCAAACTTTTTGAAAAGGAGTGAAAAGTAGTGAAAATGAAAGTAGCTGCCTGTGGAAAGCTAGAGTAAAGTAACCATTTACTAATACTAACCCTGTTTAGGGTTTTACTGGCAGTTCTGTTTAGATAACTTACATACTAGAGAATGCAATTCGAAGCATGTACGTGAGAATGTTTATGCTGAAATGTGTAATGCTAAACTGGTTTGTCTGAATGTAATGTGTAAGAGAAACGTGAAGAATTTAATTAAATGTACATGACACTGGGGGCAAATGTCGTGATGAGAGAAGAAAAGAAGTAAAGCTTGGAAGCGAGATATTTGCTGAAACTTTGAAACTAACTTGATGGCGATCAAGTCTGTTGCCAATGGCAACGGCATTTGGACACCCTTAATACGCTTGATCGTGATGGCTGCTCGTTACCAAACCTGTGAAGTTTTTGGGATATTTGGAGTATCTTCACCTGAAGTTTTTTGAAACGTTTTTCAAAGGGAGCATTGTTTGCCATGGAACCGGCCATTTGGGGAAGAATTTCAAAACTGTCCGGATGTCTCATGGCTTGATGTTAGTACCATGTGAAGTTGAGCACTTTTTTAATTATTTTAACCTTTTCATTAGGAGTTATGAGAATCATGTTTTTATGGGAGGGATGCGTTTCCATGGGAAACGCTGTGATGGTGAGTCTCGATTGGCGTACGAGCTGTTGGGCATGGACCGGTGTATACCAAGTGAAGATTGGGGGAACGATTTGACCGTGTCGATGGTTTACATGCACATCGTGTTCATGGGAGTAGGTCCAATCGCCATTGGCACGGCATTGATGACACCTCTATGCTTAGATGCGTTGATAGCTGCTCGTTACCAACTGTGAGTTACTAGGCTGTTATGAGTATTTTCATCTGGAAAAGTTATGAGAAAACATGTTCAAGGCGCTTGTTGTTGCCATGGCAAACGGCTTTTGAAGAATCTCCAACTTCCTGTAGTTTCTTCCAGGCTGGCCTGTTAGCCATGCTTAATCTGAGTCTGCTGCTTGAGCATGTCAGTTGGAGAGTGATGAGCATCATCGTGTTCCATTACACAGGTGTTTATATTGAGCTAACGAGCTTGTAGAGATCAAAGGCTTCATTGTTCTGAATGAGAGATAAACCTTACATGGAACGTTTTGCGTAAGAACGTAACAGATATCTGTGAAATTTCAAAAGTGAGCATGTCAAGAAAGTGAGTATCTGAAGTGTAAGGGTTACTATACGTGATGTTGGCGGCTGTCGCTTGATTTTCTGTTGCCATTGGCTCATGCGATGTATTATCGGTTAGTGGTGCATGAAGAGGTTTGTACACCGGCCCTGCTGGCCCACGTGATGTCAATACATCGGTGTGTAGTACATAAACAATGCTAGTGTAATGCTAATAGGGGTATAATATGGTTGGTTGGGGATATGTTAGCTGAAAGACTGGTATACAT